TGTGAGATGCATTAACTCAAACTGATATTCTCGATATTCAACTGTAAATGCTTTGAAGAGAGAGAAACGTGTGGACAAAATCAGCTTGATGGTATTGTTGGGAACCCCCATTTGAGGGAAAACTCGTGTAAACTGGTATTGTTTTTCCAATTATATATTTCCCTGTTTGGTCTTCTCTCTGGTGGTAATTCAGGCGATTATCAGAGGAAAAAGCTGTTTGCAGGAATGGTTTCGATAACGCCTGTGATCATAACTGAATTTGCTACAGAAACGTGAATCTCTTAAATTAGTTCTTAGATATTTTCAATAGATTAATGGTTTAGTACTTGATGCTACTTTATTGAAACTGGAAATTATTGCTCTAAGACTTGGCAATGTAGATACTGGAGTGACAATGATCTTTTATGAAACCTTACATTAATATTTATGGAAATTGTAATCTGTGGCTTCTATACATCTCATTTAATTACCGTAATTCATTTAGTTTTATTTGTGTAATGTAATTGTTTTTGTTTGGTTTTATTTAAAGGGGGGAGTTGCCTTCAGTGTTAGTTTATTTTTTGGTTATGTACAGTGCCAGTTTTTATTTCATTGGAAGCTGCATTTTGCTTTTAATTTTCAAACCTTGGAACCTTCAGATGCATACAAAATTTCTTTACCTAATCCACTGCCTACACAACTCCAGCTCTGTGGTGAATTAAAACAATACCTGAACTATGTGATATGTGATTTTAGTGGAAACCGAGGGAAAAGTATCATTTCGTTCATCAACATCAAAGCCATAGGAAAAAAATAATTTCAACCTATCCAAACTTATCCTAACCTAACCTAACAGAAGAAATGCATCCTAGAATTGTCCTAACTACTGATTCCAAAATTTTAAATCCTAAAAATTCGCTGGATGACCAAAATAACAATACTGTAACATAACCAGTGGCCAATATTCCTATACAGTACATGCTCTTAAGTTTGGCAATGTTCAATAGTTCATACATGGTAAAATCAGACATAGCTCAGTAATGATTTAATGAGTGAACAGGGGAGAAAAAATATTACCTACTTTTGGGGCTGCTTTAGTTTACAACCGACATGAATACCTAACCAGTGAAAGATAAAATTAAACCAGTTATTATGCTGATGTAACACGAGATGGTTCATTATTAGTTTTAAGTGTAACTAAAATTATCTGCAGGTATTTTAGTTTCAATACACCTGCTTAACATAAGAACATTGCTATAGGTAGATCAGATCACTTGAAGACTGTCCACCACATTTTATTTCACCTATTAACCTACCTAACCTTCCCAAATATAGTCAGGGTGGTTAATCTTTAGGTGAAATAAGTTGGGGTGGTGATCCTAAAGGTGATGTCGTATTTTTTGTAATAATCTTGCACATCGTAACTATTTTTTTAAGACTATTGTACAAAATATTTACCCTTAAGAACAGGTCAACCCCAAGAATTGAAAGTTTATTTTAATTATTCTATGATATTTGTTGATAAGTCACATGTTCATTCCCATTAAAAGTGCAAAAGCAGTGTCAACCAAACCTACCTAACTTTTAACAATATTTTCAGATTGTCTGGTTTAGTCAATTAGCTTTGGTTAGTAAGTAACATCTTTGATAAACTGTTCAGTCTGGAGGTATTATAGCCACCATTAATATTAACTGCTCTTGGTATAAAAACCCGTGCCTTTATTAATTTTTTTGTATCAAGAAATTAATTGTACTTGACAATGACTGAATTTTAAGGTTTTGATTTTAGATAATATTCAACACGAGTAACACAACTCAAACAGGAACACAACTAGCACAACAGCCATTAGTTTTATAATTTATCAGGAAAAAACCCACTAAAATCCTAAATTTATGAATCCGCAATTATATAGATGTATACGAACTACTCCTGAAGGTGTAAACATTTATGGTCTCACCAGAGTTGTAAAGTATTCCATTTTAATAATTATATTGTTCCTAAGATTGCCAAACTGTGATGCACTGAATACCTGTACACACAACACCCACAACATGGAGTAGGTACAGATGAGTAGTTACGGCTATCTTATGACCGGCAGTTTCTTATTGTTATTTATGGATACATTTAAGGCATAGAAACCAAATTCTCTTGGGGGGCGTAAGCAAGGACTGTGATCTTAGGCAAAATATATAGTCTCGTGTATTTACATCAACGTTGGAAGTTATGGGATTTATATTCGTCTCCTGAAAAATCTCCGTCCGAGCTTACTTCACCCTAATGCTAATCTAACCTGTCTTGTTCTAAACTGTCCTAAGCTATCATATCCTAACCTTGCTTAACCTATCCTAACTTTACCTAACTGACCCTGACCTGACTCATCCCCCCCCCGAGTTGTGATTAATCTATAGGTGAAATAAGCTGGGGTGGATATTCTTCAGGTGATTCCATATTTTTATTGTAAGCAGAATATTCTTGTGTAGAAAATAAATCTGTTCTTACCTCATTAAAGCCCCCAAAATAGAAGGAACTAGTTTATCACAATACCTGTACTATTTTTACGGATTTTCATCTTGAACATACGGCAAGGCTGTGCTGCAACTCATTTAGCTACAACTACTTTACAGTCAATTGTCAGATTCTGAATATCTGGCCTATAAACACCTGCTCATACAAAACTGTACAGCTACATTCTATAATTTATAATTTGGGAAATCTACAATTGTTTAATATTTCACTTCTAAAAAAAAAAATAATAATTCTTAGTGGAGGAAAAAATAATTAATTTTATGATTTTTTTTTTTAATTTTGAGGTAAATTTTTTTATTATTATCTATGGAGACATTTCATAAAGTTAATGCTAATACCTGACCACTCATGTCAAGTGTTACCAGTGTGTGTGTGTAACATTCCCTGGGCAGTGAGCACATATCTGCAGAACAAGGAGTCCCTTATGTCAAGAGTAAGCTGCACTAGGTACCCAGAAGTGAACACAACTCTCATCAAAGAGACTCTTGTTCTTGACGCCACACACCACAACCAAAGAGTGTTGCTCGTTACAAGTTAGACTACCCGGTACCCTGTTGTAAATGAAATGATAAATATCTTAGCAGCTCTCAATAAATAGATAACCCATCAAAGCATAGATCAGTGAAAAAAGCACTGCACTGTACTGTACTGTACTGTACTGTACTGTACAAGGGGGAAGAGCTGATCTTAGTGATGGTGCTGTCTGTCCATCTGTTGATAAATGGTCTCCTTATCATACCTCAAGTTACTAGAACCAGATTTGTACAAGAGGGTAACATTTCTGGTTTTATGCTAGATTTTTGGCAATATGAGGAATATACATACAAAAGGTTGCTCTATTTTTCTTTTGAGGAAAAAACCTGTATTGAAATGCCTCGTATAGTATTTCACCCCCACTACGACTAGGACTTAGTGCAGTAGCTTTGTCTTGGTTACATCTTCAGGTGTATAGAAGTGTTTCCAGACAACATTACTGTACTGTTTCACTGTACATTATTCCGCTAGTATAGTAATGTCTGATTACTGTAATGTATGTAAGTGCTGCATATTTATTTTGCAGTAGTAATTAGCATCTGACCAGCCTTCAATTATAGAAAATACTATACTCACTTACTGTATCTATAGTATACGTACTGGTACAGGTCAATGACATGTGACCTTTAATATGATCACTACCTACTGCTAACACAGTGTTATTTGATGTGTAAGTTTGTGGTCATCACTTTGTTCTGCAGTGGTGTTATTTTCATTGAATGTTGTAATGATTTAGGGTATTTAGGGTCGGGGCATATTTTGCCAAGAGTTATGTTGTGTGAATTTAAGTTTGACTGAAGCTATGAAACACATCACTAAAATGTAGGAAGATACTTCATGATGACCTTGGCCCATGTCCAACTTGATGACGTCAACAAAGCACAATTTGTTTGAACTTCAAGTATACCGGTGACTGTAGACTCACCGGGCAGTAATAATGTGATTTTACCCTAAGACACAATGTTTTATTGATTTTAATTTGTATTCAGTGTCTAAGGCTGGATTAGATCACTGACACGAGGAGTTTCATTTTGTGGACCAATTGATGGCCTTGTTTACCATTGTCTCTGGCAACCTAAGTCTTATCGCTGTACAGTACATGTCATATACTCTAACATTATGTAATCTCTGCACATTAACAGTTTGCCTACATACATTTATGCTAATTTTGCAAGAATTGCATTTGCACATGTGATCTGAGGTACACACAACAAAGATTCACCACTGATACAGGCAATGCAGTTGGAGAATACAGTACTGTATCTCCCATGAGGCAGTATATCCAAACCTCATCCTGAACTATATCATTATACTGTATCAGATACCTAGTGTTGTAAGAACAGATAGTTAGTAAAGGTTGTGTAGTTTTATAACAGAAAACACTACTCTACTAATATTACATCTTAATACACAAAGAAATGGCTTCCAAGCGCCCATCAAGTGCTAGTGATGCTAGTGTTGTGAAGAAGCAACGTAAGACCATTAACCTTGCTACGAAAATGGAGGTTTTAAACAGTTTTGAGAAAGGTGAACATATGGACATTGGTGTTGCGCTAGGTCTAACCCCCACAACATTGCGTACTGTCCGTCCATCAGTGAGTACAATACAAAATGATTTAGTTTATTTGTCTTTTTTGGATGTATAATATATACTATTTTCTATAAAAGTTCCATTGAATTTATGTATATGTAATATTTTTGTGGGGCCAAGCGGAAGCTGGGGAACGTAACTCCCGTATTTTATCTTTTTTATGGGGAAAATTGATTCCGTTAATGTTGTTTCCATTAACGTCGCGGTTTTCAGGAACGGAACCACGACGTTAAGCGAAAGCCCACTGTACTGATAATACAATGGTGACATTTCAAAATAGTGTTTCTTCATATTTTGTCCACCATTTCCACCCTTCAGTTATTATACACCTTTCTCTTCATTGCTGTTTTATTTTTTTCCTTTTTCAGTCCCAATAGTGCGGAAGTATCAGGCTGCCCATCACCAGCACCAAGTAGCATTGGTAACAACGCACTAAAAATATGGAACACTGGTCCCCAACAGGTCAGTAGTGAGGTTGAATTATATGTTGTACTGTATATTTAGAAACATTTATGCTTTCATTATATAAAATACGTGAGAGAGAGAGAGAGAGAGAGAAAGGCGTGTGCGCAGCGCATGCGTCTCATCAGATATCTTTAAAAACCATTACATATTAACTAGTGGTAAAGGTGTCTAACAGTATTTCCATATCAGTGGATATAGATATTGAACTTCCCTCAGCACAGCGATTTTTAATTATACCGTAGGTGAAATGGAGTTAGTAATGAAGTATAGTATGGCTGATAAAGGAAATATGAGAAAAATACACAGGTTGGAAGAGGTTGCTGAAGTGTATTGTTGCCTTTAGCTTAGTTCTGTTTTCTCTCAACAGAGTATTTGTTGAGGATATCTGCCAGCACGACAGAGCAGGATTTGTTGGAGTTATTTTCACAATATGGGACTGTCAAGGCCACGAAGATCATCAGTGACCGGGCAGGAGTTTCTAAGGGCTATGGTTTTGTCACCTTTGAGACAGAAGAGGATAGCTAGGAGAATTACACAAGAGGTACAGTATTATGTTTATTCTTATTTATAAAAGAAAGTTACAGGTTGCTTTGTATATTCTGGTCAGAGGCTGTTGTTGTGATATTATCCATTCATAAATGTTGTCTCAATATTATTTGTTAACCATTTACCCGTCTTATCATTTTTTAGGAAATTTTCAGGTTCGATAAAAAAAATTATAATATCACCTTTAAGCTTATAATTTGGTGTTTAAGGTTTACAGTAAAGCTTTCTTTATATCTGTTACATGGTCTAAAAATGATTACTGGTAGTTAGTTGCAGATTTTTATCAAAAACATCAAAATTCAACCGCTATAGTACACCTTTCAAGTAAGTTTTTAGATAGTCATGCAGTTACTAAAATCGTAATAGCTACATTCAGAATTATTTCACATATTGTAAGTTCTTATAGTAGTGGACTTTACATGTTCCTTGTGTTCTTGTTTTGTGCATATGGGGCTGGGTAAAGAATCTTTAGCTCCTGGTTGAAGGACTCGGGAACAGTCTAACAGTGAACACCAACCACCCCATACAGGTAGAGAACTCTTGCTAGGAAACTTCAGAATCACTTCATTACTGTACTGTCAATGCTAAATTTAGAATCCATTAATATATTTTTCTCATCTTTATAAAACTTTATACTCTAATGTGGGTTGGCTCTGAATACCTGATGGCAGCTCTCCTCTCTTCTTTTCTATGAGATCATTTCTTACAACCTTTCCAATGTCATTCTTGGCTTCTCTCCCTCCACAATCAAGGGAGTCCCCCTAAGTTGGTGAGCACTAGAATGAGAACCACTTGGCTATAGGCGCTGCTAGAAAATAAGGTTTTGTTTATATAATTTACTTATTTACAACAGATTTTATGTAATTTTCTTCTGAGGAAGATCTTGTCAAAGGAAGATTGTACTTGAAAGGATGTTAACAGGTCAATCAGTTAAAGTAAACATTTTTGTATTCTTTTCAGGCTGATAACATAATGCTAAAGGACAGAAAATTGAATATTGCACCTGCAATCAAGAAACAAGTCAGTGATGTTGGTTATATGAAGGTAAAGTCAGTGAGTTTTTGTAGATAGTAAGTGTCAAGTAATCACACTTAAGTATTTGTTTAGCAGCTGTCCCATGCAGCATTATTATGCAGTGAGAAGTTGTGCTACAGCTTCCTGGTGTATGGATG